GAGGAAGGAAGGAAGGAAGGAAGGGAGGGAGGGAGGGAGGGAGGGAGGGAGGATAGAGATACCAGAGGGTAACAGGCAGGTCTATACTCCCAACAAATAAGATTAGAAGAGACAAGTAAATGACAATAACCATAATTTAAAGACATCAGATATCTGTGTAAACAACAGCATCAAGATGCACACAAATTTTAGAATGAGAGAGCCTCTCCAAAGGTTATCTGATGCTCTTCAGTCATTTTTTTTTAATCTCTCTTGGAGTATTTCCCAATTCTGGGATCAGGCTATTTCTCACTCAGCACAGACTGAGGACCTCAGATGGGAGAAGATGCAAACAGCAATAGTTTGTCACTGTTGTGCGGAAATTGGACAATTTGAACATTTGGAAGGCAAGATAAAAAAAAAATATATATATATAAGTGCAAGCCATGGCAAATAATATCTAATCTAGGAGACAGGTCAAGAAAAACTGACAGTGGGAATTATCACTTGGGGTGAGCTATTAGGAGTTCTCTAGTAACTTTTGCCACTGTTGTTACTACAGTGGAAAAAGAGATGCTGGATTGACTGGGCTGATAACCAATAGCCTTGTTGAGCACTTTCTACATATAACAGACTGTCCTAAACTAGCATGCACATTCACACTTGCTTCCTTGTTGTTTCGTTATACACACACACACACACCTATCTTCTCATCAAATCCTCATTACAATTATATAAGGCAGGTATTATTTCATCTTCATTTGAAAGAAAGGCTAAGAAATTGGTCCAATGCCAAACAGCCAACAAGTGGCAAAGCCAGGAATGAACCTAGCTGTCCTGCCTCCAGGCTTTGTCAACTCCACTGCACTGTCTCCCAAGACAAAGAAGCTGGGAGGCCGAGGTGAGTGGACTGCCTGAGCCCGCGGGTTCGAGACCTGCCTGGGCAACTCAGCAAGACCTCATCTCTACAATAAATCAAAAAATAGCTGGGCATGGTAGTGCACGCCTGTAGTTCCAGTTACTTGGAAGGCTGAGGCGGAAGGATCACCGGAGCCCAGCGGGTCGAGGCTGCAGTGGCCGGGAGCGGCCGCTGCACTCCAGTCTGGGCGACAGAGTGAGACTCCAACTCAAAAAAAAAAAAAAAAAAAGAAGAAGCAGGCACAGTGACCATATTTCAGGAAAAGAGATTTTAGCTTTAAATTTCCTTTAAAAGCCTAAAAGTTTAATTTTTTTTTAAATGCCATGATAAATAGCCACACTGATTAGATACTTGACTCACAAAACAGCAGTATCTCAGCCTTAAAGCCTTCACATTCTAACAACCATCTCAAAGTCAGTAACAATCACATGAGGTAGGGTGGGAAGCATGGGTTACCCACTCCCATCATAAATCTTCTCCAGAGTTTCTTCTTTTCTACTTCAAGTTTGCCCTTTGTGGCTACTGATTTTACCAGAATAAATCGAGGCTGAGATGAAAGATGGGGTCTTTTTGGGAAGAATGTTTCTTGATGGAAGGATGGCTGATTTCGGAATGCAGAAGTGTGCATGTGTGTGTGTGTGTGTGTGTGCGTGCGCGCGCACACGCGCGCACACACCTATGTATGCATGTGTGTGTATGTGCTTGTATGATTTACACTATCAATGCATTTGGTATGAACACAATTGCCATTTTCTAAATACTGGAATAAGGGCTTAGCAGTAGAGAACAGAATAAAAAACTTTGCAACTCATATAAATATATATAGAGAGAGAGAGGCAATTGTGGTATAGCCCTCCTGTTTACAAATTCTTGAAATTACATAAATTTGAGATTTAAAACTTTTAGAGCCAAGTCCCAGCTTTATTATGTGAATATAACACAGCTCAACATAAAGTTTTATGAGAATTAAATAGTAGCATATATAAAGGTGCTATATAAACCAAAAGGTGTAATTATCTACCTTGTCAAGAGCTAAGCTTTATATAAATGTATCCTAAGAAAATAAGCTTTATTTGCTTAGTGGTTCAAGGAAAGGGAAAGTATAGAAGAAAAAGTGAGAGGATCTTTTAAATAAATACACTCTAGTGAATAAACTACTATGTGTATAAATTGCTTGTTATTTTAGTTTTGTTGTTGTCAGAATTCATTAAATTATTTTAACTTCTAGGCTCATCTTAGTTTTACTTTCTTGAAGTATTGAAGTTTAACTCCCTGTACTAAGTTTAAACAAGATTACTATACCCCTGAGAAAAAGTTTCTTATTTGTTCATTTAAATTGAGCTTTATTCAGGACAATAAATTGAGGCCTTGATTTAAAAGGAGGCAAAATGATTGGTTCTTTATTAAAGGGGGAAAAAAGTTTCTCTTTTTAGTGACCTCATTTTCTCTTTTAAGTGTTGTATTTGCCTCATTAACAAGAGCTAGAAGAAATTCTAAGATCAGTTTCCTTTACTGCTAAAGATCTAATCAGCTTTATCACTTTAACAGAGCCCTTACCTTGTAGGGCTCTCTTCTGTCCAGTCAGGGGAAACAAATCTCAGCAGCTTAATTACGCAAAGCTTGCTTGGGCTAATGCTTAGGTCAGATCTAATGTCTGGTGTCAAGTAGTCAACCAGAGCCTCGCAGAAGAAGAAAGCAACGGAAGCCATACCAGATGTCAACTGTAAACCATCCAGGAGGCCAGCCTGGGAACAGAATGAATAGGCTCTGCTTTTCATGCTGTTTCTACTCCACTCCATTACCTGAAATACTGAAGGTGATGATTCTAATCAATTTTTTGCAACTCCAGCAACAGTCCTGGATTATTAACTAAATAAGTGAAGTAAAGTTGAATTAACATGGGGAAGGGGGATAGAATGGGAAAAAACAAGGACAACTTTATCCCCTGGCAAACTGAATTAATGAAGAGGAACTATCTGGACTGGATTTCAGAAAGCATGGGTCAGCTATCACATAGAACCCAAGTAATTTATTTAACATGTGCCTTTGTAGTCTCAACTGGACAATACTGCCCTTGCCTGCATATGGGCTTCTTGTGAAGATTGAATGGCTTATGTGAAATCATTAATATATAAAATATCATGTAATACAAGACGTTACGGATACTAGAAAGATCTGAAAAAAATTGTCCTTAATTTTCTTTCAATATATCACAGTGATAAAGAGTTCAACCTCCAAAGTCAGATATCTACTTAATTCACACTCTTCAACTGTAACTTAAACTTATGTTAAAACTTACGTAAAGTTACTTGTGCAATTTTAAATTACATCAAATGTAAACTCCAGTTTCCTCTTCTACAAAGGAAACTATTAATATCCACCTCACAACTTTAGGAAGGATTAAATGAGACAACATCCATGAAACATTTAGCACAACTCCTGGTACACAGCAATTATTACATGTTAAGTGGCACCACTGTTATAAGAGGAAGAAAACATCCACAAAAGACAAGTATGAAAACTAAATTTCCTATCTCTTTCACTCTTTCAGCAAAAACCTAACCCTCT